AATTTGAGCTACAAGGGTATCTTTATTATCTAATTAGGACCCTAGGAGTCCATTTTTAGTGTTTAAATAGTGTTTTATATATCGTATAAGCATGAATTAATGTTTTAAAATTTTGGGCTTTAAAGGGTTTTGAAACAGGTCTAAATTTTTACTAAGTTTTGGTTTAATTTTGAGTTTGGAAATGATTGCTAGATGTTTGCTTTGAAGTTTGGTGGTACTTTGAAGGGTGCTCGTGCTTTGAGGAAGGAGAAGTTAAATGTTAAAGTTTGAGTTCTTGGAAATTTAAAGTTTTGAATCTTGTATTTTTAAAATGTAAGGAATATTGATCTAGACTAAAATGGGCTCTAGGAATCCATCAGTGACCTTAGAAATGAATTAGAGTTCGTTTGGTGGGTGAAAAAAGACGTTGCAAGTCTATCCATTATTTGTAAAATCTAAGTTTTTTTTTTCTAAACTTTGGTTTAATTTTTGGATAGTTTGGAGTTTGATTCGAAGTGCCTCACCTATGAGACTCTAAAGAGGGTCATGTGGTGAGTGTTTAGGCTTTAAAAATAAGTCTAAAGATGTACTGGGGAGTGAGAAGAGGGGTGGTTGAAGATGAAGTGGACTAGAGGACTGTTGGACACCTCGATGGCACGTGAGGGCGCGTCCAATGTCTGTTGTATCTCTGGCTGGTGCCAAAAATTCTGTAACGTCATCCGTGCGGAGGTACTGGTAAAATTTGAGGTTAATCCGATACCCGAATCAATATATGGTGTAAAATATCTAATTTGCCCTCTAGGGGTCGATTTGACTTAGTTGTTGGGTGATTTTCACCAAATAAACTTTATATTCATTCTTAGGTATGTTAATTAAGTATCTTTATGAAATTTTATCAAAAAATAATATCATTTTATTTTTGACTATTTCAGATCAAAATATCGAGACTGATATGGTTTCTCAATTTTGGATTAGAAGAAACATTTATAATTTATTTTTAAATTATTCCTTACATTATTTATGAATGTTTAGCATGTTTTAAATTATATGATTGTGTATGTAAACTTTGGGTGGAATTACGAATCCGAATTAGGGTTTTGAGTGCGATAACGCACAATTGTCCAAAATGATCGATTTGTCTATATAAAAATGAGATACCATAATCATTTTAAACTAAACATAAGTGCACACAGGTCGAGTGGTAGAGGATTTACGTTCCAGTTTGATGCCATAGATGGTACTCATTGAGTTCGTAAATGCTTGGATGGTCTAGTTAGTTTTCGGACTTGGGTGCTGAACTTTGACTAGAGAATGTATCTTACTTGGGGGTTCTAGTCCCTCAAAACATTGGATTGTATGTTCGTATTGACCTTGAGTGGTCTAATTCAACGCAAGACTCCACCCAAGTTTAAGGACCTAGGGTGTATCTTGTGTCATAGGAAACTTTGAGATTGAGCAAACTTTACTTGATCTGGGAGTTAGTGTCAACTTACTCCCTTACTCTATCTACCAGCAGTTAGGATTGTGCGAACTCAACCCTACCTATATCATACTTCAGTTGACAGACCGTTCTATTAAAATTCCTAGGGGAATAGTTGAGGATGTATTTGTTCAAATAGACAAATTCTTTTTTCCTATGGAGTATTTTACAAGATGTTTCTAAACTCTCATTTACTGTCAATTTTTACTTAAATGATTCTGTTTACATGAAATGACATTTTTATCTGTATATGTATATCAAATGCTCGTTTTTCTGTTATCCAATCATGCTAAACTGTGTATTTTCAAACTCGTTTATTTGGAAATGAGTTGCTCTACTAAGTTGTTGATGCTCATCCTACGTTATTTTCCCCTTTTCAAATGTGTAAAGGCGGGAAGATCTGTTTATAGTGGACAACTAAGAAACTTGTATAGTTTAGGAAATATAACCGAGAGCATGTAAATAGAATAAAAGCGAACCTTATGTGTATAATGTACTTATCTGACGAGTATTATGTCATAGTTTGAGAAGAGTATGTAAGATATGCTCATGCTTATAAAGAGATCTATAGTTTGTCTATTGTGGGTTGTTCTGCTATTACTCTTTCATGTTATTATAATGTTCTGTGGATTGAAGTAACACTTGTCGCATGCTCGGGTCGAGTCGGTGTGTAACATCGAATATATCATAGCCCCCCCCCCAACACACACAATCATTTACTGAATCCTCGCAAGAATACACCATTTTAGAAAGTGTATATACCGATGCATCGACATTAACGGAACCTTCTCAGGAATAGTATACTAGCCCCTAACATTGATCCCCGAGAGCAAATAGTACGAATTCTTGGAACCTCCCAAGTAATCAAACAACTCCACTACGAGTGATAAAAAATCTTCAAACCCCTCAAAGTAAAAAACACATCTAAGTACTCTATGATATACAGTCGAGTGTAACTCATGTTTCATGTTCATTACATTCGTCCTTACAAGATATAATAATAATACTTTTTTTTAATAAAATTCACATATACTACAATTCATAATTTTACGATTCCCAAAATAGAAAGATCAATTCAATTAAAATGCAAGAGATGGTAAAAATATGTATTCAAGTTGACTATAATCAAGATCTAGGGTTTTTTGTCAAGTACCTATAATTTTGGATGTAAATCATGTAATTTTTTAAAGAAACGAATCATATAATCAAAAGAATGTAAAATCATTATATATTGGAATAGGAATAAAAAAAGATATACATACATAACCCTAATCCTCAATAAATAGATTGGAGAAAGAAACCTTACCTTAATCTACAAATTATTGATCGTAACACATTTTGATGTGATTATTACGCGTTAATCTTCCAAGATCTAGTTTGTTTCTCCACTTTGCCTTATCCAAACTCTATTATCCTTCTTAAGGTTGAAAAATTATGTATATAAACCCTAAAATGTGGCCCTAGGATATTTATAGTGTCAAGAACGGAGTAAACCCTAAAAACTGATCGGTGTTGTTTTTAGAGAGGCGTCCGAATGGTGGGGAAGGCGTTTGGATAGTTCCAACTTGATGTTTCTCCTTTATTCTGAGCAGATGCATAGTTTCATTTTTGGACTGGTGTCCGGATGGTTCTGTGGGCATTTAGACACTAGTGACTTTCTATCCAAGATGTTTGACTCGATTTTGACTTAATTAGAAGTTGATTCACGCAAATTCTATAAACACACACTTTTATAGATCTTGAAGTTTAATTTTTAATGCCGCAAGAAAAAAGTCAATTGAACATCGGGGTAAAAAATTATGACCAAATTATTGAGATAGTCTCAAATTCTTTCTAACCCGAATTCTCTTTAATATATTTTTTAATCTTGAAACACCTTTAAACTTCTACTACACCTCATACCACATATCTTAAGGTTTTTTAACCTTTTGGATTCAATGGTGATATTATTTGATCTAAAAATATTAGAAACTTATCTATTCACCATTCTCAAGTTTAAACGCCTTCGAAATTATATTTGACTTGAAAGTCAATATGTACGAAACTCAAACTTCATGTTCATTCTTTCAACAATGATTCAAAATTTTTATCATTTTTATCATTTTAGAAGTATTCTTAAAATAATATTATCCATATTTATTTATTTTATGGGGTTTCACATGCGCACCAACACCCACCTCCCCCATCCCCTCCTCCCATTGCCACCATCTACCTCATTGTCGGTGGTTCTAGTGGTTCTCCTAACCCCTACCTCTACTTACCACCCTTCTATCAGTCTTACAACCCCCAAATCCGGAGGCTCTCTCCTTCTCCCCTTCGCTTACCACCACCATTCACTCAATGTCACTTCCAACTCCTTTCATTACACAACCACACCTCCAAGCATCCCTCCCATCTAGATCCTCACCTCACTCCCCCTTGCCACCTCTCTTTCTCCCATCTCTGAAAGAAAATGCACCACAACAAACCAACACACCAAAGTTTCAAAAATCTAGATTGTCATGTTTACAACAAATTCTGCAGTTTCGACTTCGTCACCAACCAGTAAATTTACCTACTCTGCCAATGACCTCTCTCTCCATCTTTCTCTCTCTCTCTCTCTCTCTCTCTCACACACACACACACACATACACACACACACACACTTTTTAAAAACCAAAATCTCAAAACTGGTAGGTTTCACTAATAAAAATCAAAGCGAAGACGCGCCATCTGCTAGCATTGTGGTTTGGAATCAATTCTTTATCAATCGAAACATCAGAGAAACTAATTCATCGAGGCACATTAGATCGCCCACCATTAAGTTGTGCACTTGCCTACCACCAACATCCACTCCATAGCACTTCACATCCTTTACTTATCACCTGTGTGTGGGTTTGTGTGGACATTGAAATTGTTTGTGTGTTGTTTTAAATTTCAATGGACGAGGTTTGGCAAAAGTTGTGTTTTGGTGATTGGGTGAGTGGTGGAGGTTATTCCTTTCATGGTGTTCATGGCAAGGCAATCGTTTCACAATTCCATTATGATTTTCAATTTCCATGTTAATCACAAATATAATTTTTACTTATGATTTTGTAATGTAGTTGTTGTGTGAATTTTGGTGAGCTAAGCGAATGGTGGCAGGAGGCAGAGGTGGCAATGATGGGTGGTGCTATACAGTAGAAGAAATAGAATGAAGAGAGAAAAAGTGTTTAATTTGTTTATCATGCAATTGCGTAATTCCTTGACAAAAGCATAACCAATTTCACACAATTAGAAAACCAATTTGATACACGGACATGGTTATTTAAAATTTTTGTGGCTGAATGAACATTTATAGTTAGTCATAGTAACGTCCGTAACCTAGAGAGGGTCTAAGTGTTATAAAATTTCAGTTGCCGAGGAGTCTTATAATAATTTTTAAAATGTGAAGGGCCGTCCGCGTAGTTAAGTTAAATGTTAGGGAATCCTTGAGAAGAACGATGTCGTATTGAGGTGTATGTCAATTACCAAATAAACTCCTTCGTTCAACTTCACCTTCACCTTCTCTTCGATTGATATAAAGACAAACAAAGGGCCCTTCGACTTCTAGCTCCCCTCTTTGATACGCCCTACTCTCTGCATTTTGAAAAGCCTAGAAAGTGGGAAAATTGATAAAGACAGTGAGAGAGGTAGAAGAAGAAGATGTTCTACAGAGGGTAAGATGCTGTTCTCGTACTCGATTTATTTTTTCAATGGTTTTGGGTTTTCAGTTTTTGCATTTATTTAGGTTTATTTATTTATTGGTTTGCTGGGTTAAAGATTCTATTTCATATTCTTTTTTTTTGTCTGCTTATTTTCTGAATCTCTTCGATTTGGGAGTTGATATGGGCTTGGGACCAAGTGAATCATTCAAAGTAGATTTATAAGTTTTTTAAGCTTGATAAATAGCAAAATGTTTGTGGCTTGGCTTGGATTGGTGCCGCACATGTTCTCCATATTTCTGGGTTTATTTTTTTATTTATTTATTAAAAAGGACATGTTTTGGTGGTTTCTGAATTACTGACATGTTTAATATGGTATGTGTTTGATTTGGCCTGGAAATGTGAATGAAGGAAATATGTGGACAGTGGTGATGGGCGTGAAATGGGTCTGAAAAGGCAGAGGTTGCTTGATCAGAGTTCTTCATATTATGGGTCTTCTCCAGGTTCAAGTGATATGTTCAATCCTCCACATCCAACACCAACTCTCTTGCCTCCTCCACCTTACTCTTATATTGGTCAGCCTCCACCTTTCCCTGTAGTTCGCCTTCGTGGCCTTCCCTTTGATTGCTCAGAAGTTGATATTGGTGAGTTCTTCCATGGCCTGGACATAGTTGATGTTCTCTTTGTCCACCAAGGCGGCAAGTTCACCGGGGAAGCTTATTGTGTTTTGGGGTATCCTCTTCAAGTTGATTTTGCCCTTCAGAGGAATAGGCAGAATATTGGCAGGAGATATGTTGAGGTTTTCAGAAGCAAGAGGCAGGAGTATTATAAGGCAATAGCAAATGAAGTGTTAGATGCTCGAGGTGGTGGTGGTTCACCTCGCCGGGGTGTCCCAAGAGCCAAGTCCTCTGATGAGGGGAAGGATTTAGCTGAACACACCGGAGTATTGCGATTGAGGGGATTGCCATTCTCAGCTAACAAGGAAGATATTATGGATTTTTTTCAAGATTTTGTTTTCTCAGAAGACTCGATTCACATTACCGCTACTTCAGGGGGAAGGCCAACTGGGGAAGCATTTGTGGAGTTTGCAAGTGCTGAAGATTCAAGAGCTGCAATGGCTAAGGATAGGATGACCCTGGGGAGTCGCTATATAGAGCTTTTCCCTTCAACACCTGAGGAGTTGGAGGAAGCAATTTCGAGGGGCCGGTGACTATTATTTCTTTTCTTATGCTATTCTGATTTTTCTTAACATTTGGGTGATATTGCGATTCCAGCTGAGTTTGTGCTTTTGCAAGATATATTTAATACCATTCCACCAGACTCACTATTTGCCCTCACAGTGTCAAAGATATGTCTTCCGGGGATAAAACAATTTTGTCTAGGTGTGTCCACCAAAAGAAAAAAAAAACATTGAAAATTTGATTCACCATATTATAGGCGCATGTGCACCTGATGTTTTAGTGTTTTTCATAGAAAATGATTTGCAAACCATCTTGACCAGGGGCTTTGTAAGATTTAATGTTAAAAACTGCATTCGAAATTTTAAGATTTGAGTCAGTATACCTGAGTTAGTACAGTCCTCTGGCTATTAGTGATTTAGTGGGCAAGTACAACATTAAGTTCAACTCGGTCCTTATCTCGTGTGTATTGTTCTCTAGAGTGGCTGAGGGCAATATTTTAAATTTCATCATGATCTGATGTCCAGCTTCCATTCTGGTTCATGATTATCTCAAATATTTTCGTTGGTGATTATGATTTGAAAGACCTGGTGGCTTCAGAGAGGGATTCATTAGAATTCTCCCCGCCCCGATGTTAGCTATCAACTATCAAGTCCTAGAATGATCCTTCCAATCTAATTGATTTAGTTTAGGCATGTGTATTGTACTGCCATTCTTGTTCTTGATTATCTCAAATATTGTCTTTGATGGTTATGATGTGAAAAACCTGATTGCTTCATAGAGGGATTAATTTGCATTCTCCCAGTTGTTAGCTATCAACTATCAAGTCCTTGAACACTGGGTGTATCATTCAGGCTCCTTCCAATCTAATTGATTTAGTTTAGGCATGTGTATTGTACCTGAGAGTTGTACCAGAAGAGGGTTCTAAGAAGACTTCTGACTGTTGCATTGGGCTACTGTAGTCTTGATTCAGCAAAGCTGTTGCCCTGTCTAGTTTCTCAAATTTTTTCCAGTCCATTTCTTTTGTTTACATATGTCAAATGAGATTATGAGAACCATTTAACCTAGATCTATTTGACACATTTGTCCTTGTTTAGGCCTCTTTTGCTTTCTAATTGGTTTGCATAATCAGGCAAGAGTGGCTGAAGCTGTCTCTTATTGGACTTAGTTTATTTATTATTCCTTACTGGATGAGCTGTAGCTGCTAGGTTCTTAACTCTATGCATGTTCTGGGTTAGCCATATTCCTTCTTTTCTTCGTAGTAGTTCTACTATCGCTACTCATTAGCTTGAATCGATTGAAGAAATTCCCCATTCTTGAACTCTGGGCCTTTGGCGTTGGTCTCCAGCCAAACCGCCATTTCCAGTTCATTCATTCAATATAGTTCAACTATTCATTCTGAAGTTGGTGTTCGTAGCATCACTATAATTTCCAGGTGAGAATCTTCAAGGATGGAAGCCCGGAAGTTAATGACTATTTGTCCAACCCAGGACCATAATTGCTTGTAGACTTGCAGTTGGTTCTCTTCCTAAAAAGCTATTGATACTACAGTAAGAGTGTGGGAGCTGGATTATGCTTCTTGCAATTTTCTGAGATCTACAACAATTTATAAATCTTAAATGATCCAATTGACTTTCCTCAACCAATTGAAGTCCTCCTGTACCAAAAGATTATCTGGCTGAATGTGGAAGTGGGAAATGTAGGTAGGCACTTACGCCATTCTTCCTTGTTAACTGATCAGTGATCAGGGCTTATATGGTCTTCCTTATTTGATTGTTTCGAAGGTTCATGGATTTGGGTGGTTAGGATCTTACAGTGTGATGATTTTTTCTGCAACCTATTGCATACATCAAACTCGCATGCCTTAGTAACCCATGTGTGGTATTTGAAATGTCTTCCTAGTTATATTGCGAATCTATTAGATAAACCTCTTAAAGAATTAATTATCATCAATAATGATAAATCGTCTCTTGAATGACCAAATATTCCTATTTTCCATTATGCCAATCAAATTCATTATGGTTTGAAATTGTGGTGGGGTTGAGTGGGGGTGTATCATTGGGGTTATCAAAATTTGCTCTTGACCCTTCGACCCCCGGTGTGGGTTGCACGACTCCAAAGGTACGTTCGTGACCTGAATTTGCAAATAGTTTGCCCACAATTTCAATACTATCTCCAAATCAAAACCCAATACGCAAATCAAAACCCTAACCCCAAATCAAACACCAACTTCTTCCATAATATAGAAATTGTAGAGGAGATTAGAAAAGGGGATGAATGAAAAAAATTAAGAGATAACCAATACAATTTCATCTGAAATCCGATCGATCAACTTCTTGCATCGAATTAATACTCTCTACCCTCTCTTCCTTAATGAGCAATTGTAACTCCATTTCAATCCATAATCGTTTCCTATGAATGGATTGGTTTATATATTTTGTCTCGGCTTAGGGTTTCTGTCTCGTTACTTTCAATTCTTTGGGAAGGGTTTAAGGAATCCGTCCAGAAGAAGGAAAATTAAAAAGAAGGGTTTGAGGAAGGCACTATTTCCATCTAAGACTGTGTGAAGACTTCCTTTCGGTAACTGGTACAATTGGTGCTATAGACTTCTCTTTTGTAATTGTTACAACTAGTTAGCACGTAAAGTGACCTTGTTATCAAGGACTTTGTTTGGGTGAAAAGTCAAAAAACATCCTTCTTTATTATATTAATTCAACACATTAATAGTTATTGACCAGAAATCACACTTGTAGTAAAACAGTCAAAACATTCTATAAGTTTTTTCAATTTTATTTTGGGAAATTAAAATTTTAACTCTGTATTAATCCAAAGCTCTAATGAGTCTTTGGTGGCTTATTTCTTTATTTTAATAATCTTTAAATTTATACTTTGAGTTGTTGTGATTGATTTTCTCTTCATAATTGGCTATATGTGTATCCATTTATAGTATACTAGCAATTATGTGTGCCTGAAGGAATTGTATAATACAAAAATTTTATGGCTTTTATTTTTTTATCACATTATACAAATAATGTATCCAAAATACTAAATACCTAAAAAGAACTACAAAATATAGTTATAGCTTCAACTTGGTCGAGACTGAAAAATAATAGTGACAAGGCAAAACAAAGTGAGCTAATTAAATATTTAGAGATAACAAAAATTATTAAGTATTTAAGTGTTGTGTCAGTTGAAAAGAAAAAAAAAACAGAGCATAAAGGATGTTTACCAGGTAACTTCTTTTTCCTTGTAAGCATGTTTTGATAATTCATTTATGAGAGATTATCTAACCCAAATAACATGGCAGCTTAAAGCTAATTCTCTATGTAACATTCTCATCACCTAAGTAGTATCTAAACATCTAAGTGCAAACTATGGAAAACCACAACATATTACATGACATTGGTAATGTGACTGGGTGCATGCCAAAAAAAAAAAACAACTATTGCATGACATTAAGTTGAGCAAGTAGGTAGGACAACATCACAACCACTAAAAATCTATACACCAATTTAGGCCTAACGAACTGAAGATTAAAAAAAATGGGTCAGAGCACAACACCTCTAATTCAAGACTCAATTTCCTTCCAATGAGTCCATGATATTTGTAATAAGCATTTCGTCAAACAACTTGGAAGCACCGATACACCATATGCACCACAAAATCAAAAACTCTAATTAGTGACAGTGTGCCGGATTCATACTTTCCAAATGACCCCATAAATTTTTTATTAGAACCACGCCCATGAAAATCCTATAGAAATACCAATCTCATAAAAAGGGGTGGAGGCGGTGGGAAATACCAATTTGATTGGCTTGGGGTTAATGGGTGGGGTTGTGGTTGATGAGTGTGGTTTAGGGTTCGATCCCATTTCACCAATCACTGGTAGTTTGAGGGTTTTGTCATTGTAGAGGGGATAGATAAAGAGAGATAGAGACGTTGGTGGCATCAGAGGATTGTTTTGATTAATAGTAATTCTTTGTACATAGTAGAAAACATTCGCCATTACGTAATCATAGATGTCAGTTGGCATCTGAGGGTTGGGTGTCATTGAGAAATTTCGTGAAATATGTGGTGGGTGGAGGAAAGAGACATTTTTTGAGGAGGGGGCGTTTTTGGGTAGAGGAGCAAAACCAGAGAAATTCTCCTTGGTGGTAATAACTCTTGTTTTGTGTGTTTGTGCATGCGATTGGGAGAGGGAGTGGGAGGGAGATGTACCCGACAATGTCTGTGTAGTAGTGGTCAAGGATCAAAATTTTGTTTTGGTGCATAGTTTTGGTGAACTTAAAAAGGGAAAGGTTTCGATAATATTTTAAAAATATTTTGGAAACAAGATGGAAATAAAGAAAAATTTAAAAATTTATTTTTGCAACATTTGTCGAAGCAGATTGAAACTCCTCAAAACCTAACGAAGCACCTCGAAACATCTTTAAACATAGGAATTTTGATATTCAATCAATGATTTGTTTCGGTTTCTATGGAAATAGAAATATTTCAGACGTTTAGAAACAACATTTAGTTCCTTGGTGGTGGTGACAATTGGTAGTTTTAGTGGTTGTGTAGTTTTGGTGTGTGCACGCTAGAGAAAGGGTAACAAAGAGATAACAGAGAGGTGGAGAGTGATGTAATAAGAGGACACTTGGATTTGAACTAGTGTTGGCTTGCTGGTCGTCGTTTGGAGAATCTAGAGGGAGCAAGGGGAAGAAGAAAGGGAAGGGGAAGGGGAAGGGGAGCGAGAGTGGTAGGAGAACAGGGGGAGGGGAAGAGAAAAACAAAGAAGGGGAGGAAATTAGGGCGTGAATGGGGAAGGAGGAGAGAGAAACAAAATGTGAGAAAGGTTGAGAGAGAAGGGTAGGAGCACAAGGAGGGGAAGAGAAAAAATTAGAGAAGAGGAGCAAATTAGGGCGTGACTGGGGGGAGGGAGGAAAGAGAAGCGGTGTGTGAGAAAGGTTGCGAGAGAGAAAAATACTTGATTAAGAGGATGTTTAATTTATAAAGTTTTGGGTGGAAAAAAATTTGAAGAGTGAATTTC